TATTAAAAAAAAAAATGGAAGAATTCATATTCTATTTTCTAATGGTGGTGTGTCTATTTGTAGGATACACTCGCGTCTGTTTATTGAATTTTATGGTCCCTTTCTTTGATGGTGCTTGCAGGTTTTCTAGGTAGAAATTATTTCATTATTATAATAAAACAATGTTTGATTCAAAATTTGAACAAAATTGTTTTAAAGAAATTGTCTGTATACCAGTACAAGTTTATTGTTTCAGTATACCCGTACTAATAAAATAACAGTGCCAATTGCAGAGGCGTGTTTTGTCTTCATGAGTTTGACTGAGTGGGAGACACCTTTCCTAGGGACCTCATTTGCCCACTTTACCTCCCCATCCCACCCCACGGGCAGTGCATTTTAGAGCATTTGCTTTTGTTCACCGCGACGGAAAAACACACTATGGCCACAGAACCCTCTCCAGATCATCAGAGTGAAGCTCTTTATTGCAGAACAAAAACTTCCCATTTTGCAACTTCCAAACAGCTGACAGGCCGGTGCCGGCCGCGCCGAGGGCACCGCGCACACGCGGTTGCTACAAGTGAGGAGGGGAGGCAGCGCTGCCACTGCCATCCCAGTGGGGCAGGAAAACATCCAACACTCATGAGCTCTTTGTGACCGAGTAGGCAGAAGCGCTTTGCAGTGATCGCAGGCAACACCAGGGAGTTTGGGACTCTGAAGTATGTAAGTATGAAACCTTCAACTAGCAAACACTTTGTCAAGTAAATGCTGGAGGGCTCCCCTGAACATCTGAATGAGCACAAGCAAAGCGAAGGCTGCAGGGGGGGGTGGTCCATGCTGTGTTTAGGGGCACGGAGCTGGGCCAGCATCTCACACAGACATGCCCCCGGGGCAGCTCCCAGCCTGCAGGGAAGGGTCTGGCCCTCTCCTGCCCACTGGCTCGGGCTGCTGCAGAAGGCAAACTGCTGTTCTTGGGCCTTGGTGGTTTTTTTTAGTTCCTTTGGGTTTTTTTCCTTCCTTTTTATTTTTTTTCCTCTCTTACACACAAGCAAGGCCAAACTCGCCACTGTTTGCTAAAACCCTCCTGGCTCCAACAAAGAACTTTTGGTGTAAAACTGATACTAGTGACTAAAAAGCAACATTCCCGGGGGTGGGAGGCAGTGATGATGGGCAAACACTGTACATACACTGGCAGAAAGCTGTAGCAGCAAGTCTGTTCTAACAGGTGGAGCTCAACAGGTATAAATAAAGGGAGTGTTTGGGTTCAGAAAAGGCTTCCAGCTCTCATCATGTCTGGGACTGGAAAACATCAGCCCCCTATCCCAACACAGTGGGCTAAGTGCTGCTACGTTTCTTGCTCACCACCATCCTTTCTCCCTTGACTAGCTGAAAGGGAGATACAGACACACTTCGTAAGGGAAAAGCTCCTCCAAATGTAAGCAGAGGCTCCTCCTGTCAGTGCTGACAACTCTCCATATTTACAGGGTGGCCCTACAGGCCCCTGCCATGCCCCAAGGTGAGAAAAGAGGTGCACAGAAGAGCACATCTGAAGCTCCTGCTTTATGCCTGATGGGAGTGAGTCAGCTCCTGATGAGAAGGGCAGGCCTGCACCCCCTTGGTGTGCGCACTTGTTTCCTTGAGAGAAAGGAGACCTGTGTGGCTTGTTTTGCATCTGGCAGGACACAGACTCAAGGCCCACTCCTCTAACAGGCAGTCCTCGTGCCTACGAAGCACGTGCACCGCCCGCAGCCACCACACAATCTCTTGGGCCTGAGCAAGGCTGCTGCTGTGCCACAACCTTCCTCCCCAGGGAGAGGTGGGGTAAGCCAGGCTGCCAGGGCCAGGGGGCTCTGTGCAAATCATGCCACAAGACAGAGGCACCAGAATGACTGGGAGCAGCAGGAGTGTTTTAAGTGTCCCTATGTTTCAAGAAGCCAGAGATGGACAGGCCCAGCAGGGGTTGCTTTAATGATCCCTGCCTGTAGGTCTTTGGTATGTGAAACTAAATCACTGCCAAGCCAGTGGGCCAAACCTCAGCACTGCCTCAACTCTGCTCTTAGGTGCTCAGCTTGACAGCTGCCTGACAGGAGGAAGCAGGCATGACCTTGGCCTACAGTGCAGCTTCACACACTCACAGCATTCCCTAGACAGGATGGAGTTGGATTAAGGAAGACCCAGTCATGCAGCATCACCCAACACTAAGCACTCACAGATTTCACAGATTTCCTGTCCCCAGAGGGACACCAAGTAACAGAGACCCCTGTTAAATGTGCAGGTGAGGTACATCCATAAATGGCACATGGCGTTTGTCAGTGGTTGTGCTCTCTGCCTGGACCATTTTGCTGGCACCCTCAGCTCCCTGTCTGCTCCAGTTCCTTTCAAGTGTGGACACAGGCTGGAGCAGGGCACAGGATGTGCGGGCTAAGTGAAGATAGTGACAGCTACTAGAGCACAGAACTGGATGTTAAAGGAGGGTTCAAGCTCATCTCTTTTTACGTTTTACACTCTGTCTGAGAGCTGGACATGTAGAATGGTGAGCACTGACATAATTGAGGGTTATCCCTGAACAAAACTTGCATATAATATAGGGTGACATGCAGACATGCCACCAGCTCAGCCTTTCTGCAGCTGATTTCTCTCTCCCACTCACTTTGGAGAGAGAAGGAGAAAATGGAAGAGAAAATACTGCTTATCAAAATGATGGTAAGAGCTGCTATTTAGAAAACCAAATACCATAAGTCAAAGCTTTATCAGGAACTATTCTTAGTGTCAATATCATTCACAGCCTTGGAGAATTCACAGGACAACTTAAGATTAATCAAACCATCCTTTCCTGTTAGTCACTGGTCAGTCTGAGGTATGTGTGAATGGGGAAGGGGTTTCAGCGTGGCCCCTGGCCAGGCTGGCAGTTAAGTGTGCAGCCTCCCCAGGCGGAGGCTCCACACTTGCCACACCTGTGGAGACACAGCTCCCCCACCCCCAGCACCTGCCCTTTGGAAAATAAACTGTTCTGAAGACGTCATGAAGCTGTTCAATGTGCGTATGGCTTCTTAAAAAAATGTTTACAAATATATATATATATTTCATAGGTATATGTATTTATTGAATTCCATTTAGGAATGGAGCTAAAAAAAGTAGAAAAGCACTAGCGAGAGTAGGCGTGAGACCAGCAGACTGCTGCACTTCCCACGTATGAAGGCACGAGTGTGGAGACACACCTGTGGTCAGGCCTGCACCCTGATGGTCTGACCCCACTCCTGACGGAGGTGTTTGTTTGCCTTTGCACCCCTACCCTTCACATCACACCCATAAGGAACAGTGAGCCCCTACAGCTGCAGTGATGTGGATTAGCAATGCTGCCTGTACTCAGGTAGGAGCAGTATGTGATTGGTGGTAAAGAAGCCTGGCATCTCCTTTATGTGGTGCTTTCAGGTTGGAAGGAATAGAGATCAGGTCCTTTATTCACAGGGTCTGCTCCTCTTCTGCATTCAGGTTCCTTTATGGTTCGCAGACAGGACAAATGGTCCTTAAAACCAGCAGACACGTAACTGTGCACACAATTGAGGCCCGTATTCACCTCCAAAGCAGAGGAAGGGGTCATACCATAAATAAAAACTATGTCCCGCATGTTAAATGGAAGGCATTTAGAACACCAGGCTACTTAGAAGCTACTCTCTGCTTTTTCTGATGTGCACAACACACCACCATGACCAGGGATCAGCCTGTGGCCTAGGTCTGCTCCTCAGCATGGTCAATTGTACCAATCGTTCTGCATGGCTTTGTGAGCAGCCCAGCATATGAGTTTAATTCTGGAGTTTTTTCTTTGCTGTTCCTACAGATGACTCGTTTGCTTTTAAAATGAAGCCTGCCTCTTTCTACAGATACCTACAGCAAGGGAAAGGAAGACTGTGAAGTACTGAAGTAATATCAGCTGTATTATGATCTCAGCAGCACTTTAAAATAAGTGGCCAAGCATTATTAATACATTGGTCCTCAATTTTACATCATTTATCATAATGAGCTGCTGTGGTATTCACATGGATGTGATGTGTATTTCCAAAGAAATTTCTTTTTGATTTATCAATTAATTAGTGGGACATTACACTTCATTAAAGTGTTACCTGGAGTCTTAAACATTCATTACTGCCTTTACAGCAAATGCTGTAACTCCCAGCTCAGCCTACCAGTGCCTCGCAGTTGGGCTACTGGGCTGAAAGCTCTCTTCCTTTTCATGGAGCCAAGGCCTGCAAAGGAGTGGCACCAAATAACCACCAGTGAATCTGATCCCACCAGGCTCATTCACCTGGGCACAGACAATGCACAGCACAGCATGTTTACATCTTTGCTAAATGGATATGAACATGCAGGGGAACAGGGAGAAACCGTCACCCCCTCAGTGAAGTTACCAGTGCTGAGTTTCAATGCCTTAGAAATCTGTTCACAAAGAGCAGGTAAAAGCAGGAACCCAGGTAATTCAATAACTGATTGCACAAAAAAGCAAGCAAGTTCTAAGATGTTTTCTCCAGAATGACCTCCACAGATGGGGGCAGGGGTGACAGCACAGGTTTACTACATTCAATGCTAGCTTCTCTGAAGAGGCAAGGCCATTGAATAGGGAGATTAAACAGCAGTACCAGCCCTGTGAACCAAGAGTGCAAGAGATCTGGCATTGTCACAGTAAGAAGTCACCAGTAGCCAGGTGGCATCCACCATCCCCCTCTGACATTCTGCAGGCTGGCAGCCGTGACACAAACATACATTCTATTGCCAGAACAACACTTAAGAGAATTTGATTTTGGATATCTCCATGCAATTCCTTGCATCTTTTTCTCTCCCAGCCTGCAATTTCTAGAGGCAGCGATGCCAGAAGCAGTGGTAGCTGACAGGTCACTCTTAAAAAAGGGAATGTGTGTATGTGTGCAGGTCTAACAGCCATGTCTGTACAAGCCAGTTCCTTGGTAATTCAGGTTTCAGCAGCTATTTATCAGAGAGGGAAAAAAACAGGTAAAGAAATGTTGATTTAAAAAATGAAATAGGCACAACAATAAAAGATGAGGCTATTGCATTTTGAACAATGGTACTGTGTTAACAGCACGACCTTCCCCTTCCAAATCCCAGCCATACCCCTCCAATGGCTATGACACTGCCATTCGGAGAGAGAGGAGAGTTTGCCACTAACAGCGCGTGGAAGAGAAAGCAAAACAAAGCAGAAGCCCTTCCTGCTCCTCTCCCCCACCCCTCTCTCCAGACCTCCTGTCCTTGGCTAACTGAAGACCTGACTGTGTTGCTGCGTGACCCGGATAAATGTTGTTCTCCTGCTCAGTTCCTTGAGTTTGGCAGCTCCCACGTAGGTGCAGGTGGAGCGCAGCCCCCCAAGGATGTCCAGGATGGTGGGTTCCACATCCCCTCTGTATGGAACTTCCACAGTTTTGCCTTCCGAAGCCCTGCAGAAGAGATAGGTTACTGCATTTATGTCTAGATGAAAAACAGAATAGCGTGTTTACTGGAGCAATGTGGAGCTTAATACTCTGCATGCTGCAGTTTACAAATATTCCCCCAGCTTTACTGCTTGCTTGCCTGATCTCAAAGCACTGAAATGCCTCAACTCCCTCCACCACCAATACTGCAAACTAGACAGATCTTAGAGATGCCCCAATATCCCATGAGTGTATTTACAGATCTGCCCCTTCCTCCACTCCACCATCTGCCTACAAGCAAGTAAAGCTTCCAGGTTTATTAAAAACTACACGTGACCTTGAGAGCGGCAAGCTTTAAGGTATAAGGAACAGCCAGGCTCAGGCAGCTTACAGAAATGTTGGAGCCAGGGCTCAGCAGGCACCACTCATCCCAGCTCTACATAGGCTTTGCAGCCCCTGGGCTCTGTCCCATGTCACCGAGCAGACACAGATGGACATGCTCCAGCTGTCTCCCACCAGCCTGATTTTCCAGAGTCCACAGAGATGGAGTGGGATACCTGCTACAGAAACCCACTGCAGAGCTGTTCCCTGAACCTAAAGGTGAGGTAGAACAGTTCAGAGCCAGGCAAAAAGGCCAGAAAAAAATAGCACTGCTGCGAATACGGTCAAGTATCGATGTATGTCAGCACAGACTGCACTGGGCCTGAAAGCACATCTGAAGAGTTACACGATGGAAAAATCCAGGCAAGTAACTTTCATCCCTTCCCCTTCAGCTTTCTTCAGCCTCATGCTCAGCAATTCCACTTGCAGCAGAGCTCCCCCATCACCACCTGATCTCAGTACGCTTTAGAACAAGCTTGTCCTGCATGGCACACTAGGCTGGTCCAAGAAAACTGCAGAGGTGCGAGGGGATTGCTCTCCTTCTCCCCTACAGAATGGAGGCAGAAATCATGGCAGGGATCTGTCATCGTTCTAAATGTGGTTTATTTACTTCTCCCTAAACACGTTGTCTAGGGGATAGTGCAAGAGAGAAAGGGCATGCCTGTTTGGAGGCTCCATTTGCAAATCACTAACAACAGCAACAGCTGGTATGTGGAGGTACTTCAGCGTGAGCCTAGCTATATTTCATTCTGTTAGTTTAAATGTGAGGTTAAAGCCCTAGGGAGACAATAAAGGAGAAGTGTTAATAAGTGCCATGTGAATAAGGAATCATGATTAATCTCCTTATAGCTGATGAGTAATTGACTCTTTCTTGAAACTCTTAAATAAACACTCTAATAACTGGTCAATGGAAAAGGCATGTACCACTGCTACCCAGCAGACTGCATGGGCTTCAGTGGTGTCTTGTAGGGCCTGTGCTCCTGGGACTTCCTAGGCTTTTTTTCTTTTAGCTCCAGTGCTGGCAGAAAGAGAAGGGCTGGCCAACAAAACAACACTAAAAATACCATTCTAGAGCTTGACTTTTGGCCATGCCCACCCCCCTCCAGTCAAAGTTGGGACATCCAGCCTGGCCTATGGGGACCCTCCTGCAGGACTGTGAAAGACAGTGCACATCTGGGATTTAAGGAAACCAATGTGAATTCTATCTACCAGATCCTGCTGGCTGAAGAGCTCTGCATGCTGCACTGGGCAAGAAATGCAGGGTTTACTGCATTCATTCATGATTGCCCATTCAGTTCATGCATGTGTGTCCAATTCATTTATGCATGAATGCCCCATCCATTCAAACATGAGTGCCCTGTTAATTCATGCTTGGGTATCATTTGGGGGATAGGTTACACGGCTGTGATAGCAGAGAGCTGGTGGCAAACAAAGGCAGCCCCAGTTCAACAGATCTGCAGAGATAGGAATTTTGCTCCTGAGAGTGTGAACTTTTGGTGGTCCTTTTTTCAGAGCACATTATAAACGTGGGACATTTAAAGCCACTGCCCTTGGGAGATGCCACTGTTGGGAATTTGGAGCTTAGGGATGCCACTTTTGGCTTTGGAGACCAAAACCTACAGAAGTGGTGAACACTAATGTCACAGCGTCAAAGCTCTGACAGCTAGACAGTTGTTGTTGCTCCTCTGTTATCAACTGATAAGCTGTTGTGCTGTCATGTTGTTCCAGAAGTGACCAACACCATACTGGTGGAAGCACACTAGAAGAAAGATGTGAGATGAGCTCCACAGAATATGCCGAGAGTCCAGTTTCATGTTCATCCTTGAAAAAAAGTGTCAAAAAGGGCTGAAATTCTCTGTGCTTTCACCCTACATGCTGAGAATAGCAGATTTTCCAGAAGGAAAAAGAGTAAGATGGAAGTGGGGCAGGAATCCAGAGCGGTCAGCTAAGCAACTGCAACTCCAGCAAAAAGGCCAGAGCTCAAGTAATGTTGTTCTGGCTGTGGAGCAAGCCCCAAGAAAGCGAAGCTGCTTGCTGTGTCATCTTACTCCCCAAGTGGGGAAAGGTCCATGTGGTGGCATGGGAACACTGTTCACACACACCCACCCTTCTGGATGTAAATAAAACCCTACAGGTATTAAAATCATGACTCCTTTGGTACCTTTCAACAGTGGTGTTAACTTTTGTTTGTACAATCTTAATCATCTGCTTTTATGCTAAAGCAGAGTGAATAACCTGAACTGCTGTTATGCTCTTGGTTGTCTGTTTTGAAGGGAGGAGTCCTAAAATCTGAAGCAAGCATTCATGATGACGTTAACCCCGATATGAGTCAGTCAAACTGTTGAGGCCTTCTCGGTTATGTGTTGTGTTGGGCATAGAGAGTAGAATTTGGGTAGCAAGGGCTGCTGGTGTGACTTGTCAGGTAGAAGGCAATTATCTCCTTCATGCCAGTTGCAAAGATGATTCCACCTGACTCTGAAAATGGTGCAAAGCCAACAAAGTATCAGCCAGTCAGGTGAGCACATGGCATCTCGGCTCAAGTGCATTTAAGAAACCACAGCAGCCACTGGGAGCGGAGACACACCTGGACATGCCTGAAGGGATATACACCTCTCAAAAGGAGGTGCTCCATGCTAAAGGTAAGCACTCTTGATGGGACTACAGTCCCTGGATGACCCATGCCAAAGCAGGGACAGTCGCAAAGGGACAGTGGCCTGTCGACAATCCACAATGAAGCAGGCACAGTAGGGAAGAGTGGCA